TGAATATGCTATCAGATGGAGGGAACAAGTTGCTAGGGTTAAACCACCGATGAAGGAGTCAGAGATGATTGATGTATTTCTCCAGGCGCAAGAACCTGATTACTTTCACTATCTGCTTTCTGCCGTAGGGAAGACATTCGCTGAAGTTATTAAGGTAGAGGAAATGGTGGAAAATGGCATAAAGTCTGGAAAGATTGTAAGTCAAGCCGCCTTAAAAGCCACAACACAAATGCTTCAAAATGGTTCTGGAAATATTGGAGGGAAGAAGAGAAGGGAGGATGTGACCGCTATTGTATCAGCGCCTAGGACTCATGTCCAAGGTAATTCATCACAACACTATTTTCCTTCCCAAGCTCCACAATATTCTGTCCCATACACTCCATATTATGTTTTTAATGCACAACCAATTGCACCCCCTTCTTATCCACAATGGCGTGCACCTACTCCACAAAATCATCCACCCCCCCACAAGTTCATCAAAATACTGCTAGAATTCCTTTCCGTACTAGGCCACAATACAAAAAGGGAAATGACGTTAAAGATGAGTTCACTCCTATTGGGGAGTCGTATGCTAGCTTGTTCCAAAAATTAAGGAGGTTGAATGCTTTGAGTCCTATTGAGAGAAAGATGTCGAATCCTCTCCCGAGAAATTTGGATTATTCTCAACATTGCGCATATTATTTTAATGCCCGAGGGCACAACATAGAGAGATGTTGGTATTTGAAAAGGGACATTCAGGATTTGGTCGATTCTAACCGAATTATAGTTGAAAGTCCGAGTGGACCCAACATCAATCAAAATCCATTGCCGACGCATACTGAAACAAACATGCTGGAAATGATGAAGGGTCATGAAGAGTTTGCATCTCCGTATAAGCCAATCCTTAGGGTTGGAACTGGTATTGAGAAGTCATCAAATGTTGTTGATTTAACAAAAATGATGCCTTTAGGGGCGGAAAGTGTGTTCGAAAAGCTGAGTCCATCAAACACACCCATCTTAACTGCGAAAGGAGCCCTTGAAGATGTTTGGGCAAGTCCGAGTAAGGCAAAGTTGTTTGTTCCAAAAAGCCCAAACAAGCCTATCTTGATCGTGCGAGGGGCCCATATTCCTCCTGTGATTATCAGGCCAGTATCCCAGCTCCCAATGACTAACCCCAAAGTTGTTCCTTGGAACTATGAGCCTACTATCGTGACATACAAGGGAAAAGAAATTTATGAAGAAATAGATGAAGTAGGAGGAATAACCCGTTCAGGAAGATGTTATGTCCCGATGGAGTTAAGGAAAACTAAAAATGACCAAATACAAGTAAAGAGTCCGGTCACTGAAGGAGAGGCAGAGGAATTTCTAAGGAAAATGAAACTATAAGACTACTCTATGGTGGAACAATTAAGAAAAACTCTAGCCCAAATATCTTTGTTGTCTTTGATAATACATTCTGATGAACATTGTAAGGCTGTAATGAAAATTTTGAATGAAGCACATGTTCCTAGTAAAGTTACAGTGAGTCAGTTAGAGAAGATTGCTGGGAGAATATTTGAGGTAAACCACATCACCTTTTCAGATGATGAACTACCCAAAGAAGGTACAGGACATAACCAAGGCCTACATATCACTGTAAAGTGTGAGCTTTCATATGTCACTCGAGTTCTAATTGATGGAGGATCTGGAGCAAATATTTGTCCTTTATCAACTCTACAGAAATTGAATGTTAGTGCTGAAAGGGTCCGACCCAACAATGTATGTGTTAGAGCTTTTGATGGGTCAAAAAACAGATGTTATTGGTGAGATAGAGCTCGTACTAACCATAGGGCCTGTTGATTTCGCTGTGAATTTTCAAGTGTTGGATATCAACGCGTCCTACAATCTATTGTTGGGGAGGCCATGGGTACATAAGGCTGGAGCAGTCCCCTCAACGTTGCATCAAATGATTAAGTTTGAATACGACTGACAAGAGGTAATTGTCCATGGTGAGGGGGATTTGTCAATCTACAAAGACTCTTCTTCCCCTTTTATCAAGGCGGATAATGAGAATGAGGCACTAGTTTATCAAGCTTCTGAGGTAGTGGTTATTGAGCATGTCCCCGAGGGGAGTGTCATTTCAAAACCAAATATGTCCATCGCGTCTGTAATAGTGGTGAATGAATTGTTGAAACATGGGTTTGAGCCGGGTAAAGGCATAGGAATCTACTTGCAAGGAAGGGCTTATCCTGTGAGTCTACGAAAGAGCATCGGTACTTTTGGCTTAGGCTACCAACCTAGAGTCGAGGACAAAATGAAGGTAAAGAAGCAGAAGAGAGATGTATGGGCACTTACCAAGCTTATACAACCAATCTACAAATCTTTCATCAAAGCCCGCGCAACAGAATCTTATCAATCATCTCTTCCAGAGCCAGTAATGAAAGTTAGCGAAGAAATGATCAACTATTTTCAAGATTTATTTGTCGAGGTTGATATGGTGGAACTCGGAGAAGGCACTAGCGACAGAGATGTGCAATTCATTGGTCCTGATGTCAATCTAAACAATTGGGAGGCCACCCCTCTCCCCGTTAAAGACGAGTCTTGATAGTCTGTCTTGTTTTTTCTTTTGTCGTCTGATTCATTCAAGTATTGTAATTCGGATTTCATCTTGTCGTTTTATTTCAAACATTCTATTTCCCTTTTCAATAGGATGTAATTGCATCTTTATTTCAGTCTAATGTATTTGTTCGTTTTCTTTTATACAATTCTTTGTATGCCGATTATAGTGATATGACATGCATGCAGAATTTTTCGCCAGATCTTAATATCCAATCTAATCTTCGACCTAATATTGAAATAATAAGTCAAGAAATCGAACATGATGAAGACAGAGTATTTGAAGAAGTAAGGAGGGATTTCAATCATTTTGAAAATAAGTCAAATCCAAACATGAGTGAAACTGAGACGATAAATTTGGGGGATCAGGAAATTATTAAGGAGACTAAGATAAGTGAACATGTTCGACATCAAAAGGACGATATAATCCAGGCCCTGTTTGATTACAAAGATGTTTTTGCGTCATCTTATGATGACATGCTTGGATTAAGCACGAACATGGTTGTTCACTAGTTGCCAATTGATCCTAATTTTCCTCCGATAAAGCAGAAGTTGAGAAAACTCAAAACCGACATGAATGTATTAACTAAAGAGGAGATTACAAAACAACTTGAGGCCAAAGTCATTCAAGTCGCTCAATATCCTTCTTGGTTAGCCAATATCGTACCTGTCCCTAAGAAAGACGGCAAAGTTCGAATGTGTGTTGATTATCGTGATTTGAATAAGGCAAGTCCAAAAGATGATTTTCCTTTGCCTAACATCCATATTTTATTGGATAATTATGCTAAACATGAGGTTGCATCTTATGTGGATTGTTATGCGGGCTACCATCAGATTATTATGGACGATGAAGATGCAGAAAAAACATCTTTTATCACTCCATGGGGTACATATTGTTATCGTGTTATGCCTTTTGGATTAAAAAATGCAGGGGCAACTTATATGAGAGCAATGACAACCATGTTTCACGATATGATGCATAGAGAAATCAAGGTTTATGTGGATGATGTTATTATTAAATCTAAGAAACACTCAGATCATGTGAAAGACTTAAGGAGATTCTTCGAAAGGCTCCGCAAGTATAATCTCAAGCTTAATCTACAAAATGTGTATTTGGAGTACCATCGGGGAAGCTTTTGGGGTTTATAGTAAGTCGAAGAGGTACCGAGTTGGATCCTTCAAAAATTAAAGCAATCCAAGAATTGCCAGCTCCAAAGAACAAAACTAAGGTTATGAGCCTTCTAGAAAGGTTAAACTACATCAGCAGATTCATTGCTCAACTCACAACAACTTGTGAGCCTATCTTTAAGTTGTTGAAAAAGAATGCCACAGTCGAGTGGACCGAAGAATGTCGAGAAGCTTTTGAAAAAATTAAGAGTTACCTATCGAATCCCCCTGTGTTGGTTCCCCCAGAGCTGGGAAGACCTTCGATATTGTATATGTCAGTACTGGATAATTCTTTTGGTTGTGTACTGGGTCAGCATGATGTCACTGGGAAGAAAGAGCGGGCCATTTATTACCTCACCAAGAAGTTTACCGTTTACGAAGCAAAGTACACCCTTCTTGAAAGAACGTGTTGTGCTCTAACTTGGGTAGCACAGAAGTTGAAACGTTATCTTTCATCTTACACTACTTATCTCATCTCTCATATGGATCCGTTGAAATATATTTTTCAAAAGCCCATGCCCACAGGCAGGCTTGCGAAATGGCAAATATTGCTCACAGAGTTTGACATTATCTATATAACGCGGACCGCAATGAAAGCTCAAGCATTGGCAGATCATTTGGCAGAGAACCCTATTGATGAAGAATATGAACCGCTTAAAACCTATTTTCCAGATGAAGAGATATCTTGTATCGATGAAGTTATTCACGATGACGATCAAGGTTGGAAGTTATTCTTTGATGGTGCTTCTAACAGGAAAGGAGTTGGAATAGGAGTTGTTCTTATGTCTGAATCAGGGGAATATTACCCTATATCAGCCCAACTTAGATTCTATTGTACTAATAATATGTCTGAGTACGAAGCGTGCATTTTGGGTCTGAGGTTAGCTGTTGACATGGGCATCCAAGAATTGTTAGTGTTAGGAGACTCAGACTTACTTGTTCATCAAATTCAAGGAGAATGGGAAACTCGAGACCCAAAGCTGATACCATATCAACATTGTTTACAAGGTCTTTGTCAATGATTCGTGTCGATAAAGTTTAGACACATTCCCCGAATGCACATGAGATTGCAGATGTATTGGCCACTTTGTCTTCGATGCTCCAACACCTTGATGACGTCCATATCGACCCTTTATACATACAAATTCGTGATCAACATACCTATTGCAACATGATTGAGGAGGAATTTGATGGTAAACGTTGGTTTCATGATATCAAAACTTATCTTCAGTTTGGAGAATGTCCGTCAGATGTAACTAGTAATCAAAAAAGGACTATTCGACGACTAGCAAGGGGTTTTTTCTTAAGCGGAGGCATACTGTACAAGAAGACACCCGATTTAGGTCTTCTAAGGTGTGTAAATTCTCAGGAGGCTTCCACAATCATGATTGAAGAACACTCAGGAGTTTGTGGACCCCATATGAATGGATATGTTCTAGCTAAGAAGATACTTCGAGCAGGATATTATTGGCTCACCATGGAGCGGGATTCGATACGATTTGTTCGTAAATGTCATGAATGTCAAATACATGTTGATTTGATACATTCTCCCCCTTTTGAGTTGCATGCAATATCCGCTCCATGGACTTTCGTGGCATGGGGAATGGATGTGATTGGACCGATAGAACCAAAAGCATCGAATGGTCACAGGTTCATCTTGGTGGCTATTGATTATTTTACAAAGTGGGTGGAAGCAGTAACTTTCAAGTCAGTGACGAAGAAGGTCGTGGTGGATTTCATCCATTTCAACATCATCTGTCGATTTGGTATTCCAAAGGTGATTATAACTGATAACGCCGCAAATCTCAACAGCCTCTTAATGCAAGAGGTATGCTACCAATTTAAGATTGAGCATCGAAATTCGACTCCGTATCGCTCAAAGGCAAATGTGGCTGTAGAAGCTGCTAACAAAAATATAAAAAAGATACTTCGCAAGATGGTGCAAAGTTCTCGACAATGGCATGAAAAGTTGCCTTTTGCTTTGTTGGGTTATCGCACTACAGTCCGTACGTCAGTGGGCGCTACCCCATATTCACTGGTATACGGGACTGAGGCAGTTATACCTGTAGAGATTGAGATCCCATCTTTACGAATCGTTGTGGAGGCTAAATTGATGATGATGAATGGATCAAAACTCGGTTAGAGCAATTAAATTTGATTGATGAGAAGCGTCTGACATCAGTATGTCATGGACAATTATATCAGAAAAGAATGGCACGGGCATATAACAAAAAGGTGCGTCCCAAACATTTTGAAGAGGGTCAATTAGTGTTGAGACGCATTTTTCCACATCATGCTGAAACCAAAGGCAAATTTTCTCCAAATTGGAGAGGAACATTTGTTGTTAAAAGGGTATTACCCAATGGTGCTCTTTACTTAGCAGATATAGAAGGCAAAGTGACAGAAACGATCGTCAATGCTGATGCTGTGAAAAGATATTACATATGATTGAGTTTTGACATTAGAAACCCTTATGTTTGGGCTTGACATTTCAAGAGTTGATTCAATGGGATCTCTTGGTAATGCTGTTTCCTTGACTTTTCAAAAAAAACAATAATAAGAAAAAAAAACAAATTGCCTGAACTACGTTTGACCTGATTCTTGTTTCGGCAAGATACGTAGGAAGCCCTAATATTGGGTTCGGTTCAACCAAATACAAATCCAAAAATTCATATTGTAGTATACTGGGGCAAAAGTCGTTTGTTTATTCATTCGGTCTCTCATCTCAAAGCTCAAAATCAACCCCATCATCTAAAGTCTAAAAAATAAATAAAAAATCTTTGCATCAACCCTTGATATGTCGAGAATAAGTTGGTTAAGGTAGGTAAAAATCCTGAATGGGCACCATATGACAAATGTGAATAAAAAGAAATAAAAATTAGAGAGTCTCATTGGTGAAAACCCTAAGTGGGCACCGTAAGGCGCAAAGGAGTTGAATATAAGAGAGTCTTATTGGTGAAAATTTTGACATGCACCATAAGTCAGACGTGAGCTGGAGCAATTAACATGATAGAGTTTTAGCGGCAAAGACCTTCGTGAATATCACAAAGTGTATAAGGGTTCCAAATTATTTATGGCTTCATTAAGTGTCGGGATTCCATATCAAGATTGAATGATCAATAGTGGTTGATGAATAGATTGGATAGACAAGTCTGGAAATCAATTCAAATTGCATGGCATGATCAGTAGACTTGGCTCCCACACTCAGATAAGTTTTTCTTTCTTCTTCTTACTAAAAAAAAAGAGTCTTCATCGAATCTTTTCTTTTATTCTCATATAGTTCGCAATTTTCTTATACATTTTTTCGTCACTTTTTGTATGTATTTGAGTCGAGTCTTTGTCAAAAAAAACTATGAAGGAATTTCAAGACTCGCTATCAAGTCTCTAATCGGTACTAGGCAAAGCATCAGGCTACTGAGTTAATCTGTCTTCAAGTGTTGAATTCGAAAATTCTCTGATCCTATGAAGGCTAAACAATGAGTGTTGTGAGATAAAGACATTGAATTTAGGTCCCAAAGTAAGCAAATTCGGATGAAAGTACTATCAATCAATAAGAAGTATTGACCGTTTGAAACAACCAAAGCGTCATAAGTGTTTGAGCCGCCCTTGTCGAAAGATGGAAGCACAAACCAACCACCACCTTTTCAAACTCACAAATTTTCTTTGTTGAAGCAAGGACACAAGTTGTTTCAAGATTGAGGATTCGAGGAACCTAGATGTTCAACCTAGTCTGCAGTGAGCGAAATAGAAACCCTACAATAAAGACTTGTGGAATATTATATGAAAGTTGGCTAATATATATCAAAATAGCAATTACTTGAATGTTGGAATATTTACTTTATTTATTACTATTATTATTATTTTTCTCCTTGAAGGAACTTCCAAATAATGAAGATACCATTCACAATGTTTCGTTGGTATTATTAGTTTGTTGATAACTTTATTAGCAGGACCCTCCTGGATAATGGGACTAGCAGGACCCTCCTGGATAATGGGACTAGCAGGATCCTTCGGGATAATGGGACTAGCAGGGCCCTCCTAGATAATGGGACTAGCAGGACCCTCATGGATAATGGGACTAGCAGGACCCTCCTGGATAATGGGATTAGCAGGACCTCCTGGATAATGGGATTAGCAGGATCCTCCTGAATAATAGGACTAGCAGGACCCTCCTGAATAATGGGATTAGATTACTTTCTCATAGGATAAACACTTCCTAGTCTAGATTTTTAGTTTTATTTTTTCCTAAAATAAACACTTCCTAGTCGAAGTTTATGTTTTATATTTATATTTGCTAATAACTCACAAAATTTTCGCAATGAATACTGGGGAAATTTTTTTGTTTGTGGTGGTTTTCAGGTTTCCTCAAGCGAGACATGGATTTGAAATTCACAAACAAAGTTTCAACTTTTTTTAGAATAATCAATTCCATGATGGTTAGAATTAGCTCATTCAATGCACGTAGCAGCCTGACTTCGTCACATCTTTTACTAGTCAACTTTTGATCAAGAAAACACCAGCTATTCAAGAACACTTTTCAAATTGTCATTTTTGAAGAGTGTCAAAAGTTCCGCCTAAGTGGCAAGTTCAGCCTCCATTCCAATTCAAAGCTAAGATATTCACCAAAAATCAAGGTGATATCTTAAAGTCAAGATTCAAGAAAAGCTGCATGGATAGAAGGTTGTGCATTTGTGTTTCTTTTGAATAATAGTTTTCAAGTTTTATGTAAGGATAAGAGCCGCGATCTGGATCCTCAATGGAACCTCACTTAACTCCCACTCATCACCTCATCTCCTCGAACTACATGTGACCTGATTCCCTCATAACCTGGGATATGTAGGCTGTCCAAAACAAGGACTCGATCGCATAAATTTTGGTCTTTCAAATAAGAGTTCGATCAAAACTTGTCACTTTGTCTAGTTCTTTGTCTGAAAACTCTTCGTGTTTCCAGTCAAAGAGGGGCAAACTGTAGACACGTAATTTTGACCGAATTTAAGTTTTATACTCTTTTTAGAGATTAAATATTTTTTAAATATAAACTAGATATTTTATTTAATAAATTTATTTTAAAGGATTTGAAAACAACAAAAATAGAGTTACCCTTTAAGTTATATTTATTTTTTATTTTTTATTTTTAATTTATTCAAAATTTAGCGAATAAATTATTGATCTTAATATTTTCTTCGTTATATTGTTTTATTTAGCTATTTCATATATTTTTTTAATGCCAAAATAACCTACCCATTATCCCACTTAACCACTATCCACTACCACATTCCCACATACCATTTTACTACCCCCATCTTCATGAAAAACTATCAGAAAACTAACCCACAACCCCTCTATTTATTATTTAAAATTTACATAACAAAAAAAAGAAAAAGATCAGAAAGAAAGAGGGAGGAACGAAAAGAGAACAAAAAAAAAGAAAAGAAAAGGAGAGGAACGAGAATCAGAAAGGAGGAAGGCAGAAGAGGAAAAGATCAAGG